GGTCTAAGAAAATTAAAGGATGATGAAAGACTGCTGCTGCTCTGACTCTTATACCTTTCTTCCAACATAAGGATTTGTGCTGTGACATCCGGATTTAGAAGTTTGTTGTGGAACTAGTTGTCAGAGTAGACAGTTAAGGAGCAGGAGAACATACTACGTGATGTAATACTTGTCCCTAATTTCTGCATATTTTTCTGTTGGACCATGGGAAATAAGTATCATAAAGAATGCAGGGAAGAGAATATTTGTTGGCAGACTTGTCTCCAAGTACTCTCTGTCAAGGTTTTGTGAGCTGTTTAACAGATAAATTTGCTAGAAAAGAACGGTCATAAGTGAGAGCTCATAAATTTGTGACCTATCTTTTGCACTTGCACTAATAGCTGACAAGTATCCCATCATGAATGTGAATTTGCTTGTTTCTTTGCACAACCAGATTTACAGAGGATTCAGCTCTAATCCATTTTTATAAATATTAGTTTGCTTTCTCTATTATCTGACATAGAAACAGATCTCATTAAGAGTAGGCTTCCTCTAGCATTTGAGAGCTTTTTCAGTTTTCTGCCAGTAGTGACTACTCCAATCTTTTATGAGGTCTGTGCGTATAATTCCAGCTTTATTAGCCAATATTAGTGATTACTACCATGCTATTCCACAGAGAGCACAGTGGAAATTAAATTGCCAAAAGTCAGCTCTGTTCTTGGGATGCTGAGGACTTCGTGTCCAATCTCTTCTATGTGACATGAACCATTTGTAGTGTTTCAGCAGTGCCAAAAGCTTCACTTTGAGTTCTTGCCTTCCTAAAAGCTAAAATCAGTCAATCATGGGGAACCCATGCTCAGAGAGTCTCCGCTAGTTCCAGTGGTCAGGGAACAACTTGTTCTGCAACGTGCTCAGCAAGCTCATAGGGACCATAGCTCTGTGCTTCTGGCTTTACATCACATCTGCGGATGGAGCAGATGATGTTCCCAGCGCAATACAGGGCTGAGACAGAACCCTATTGATATGCTGTCTCCGGGACAACAGATTTCAAGAGCTTCCCAAGTCTCTGATCATGGATTTTTAGGAGCACCAACGTGATTATAATGAGGCAGCTGAGATTTCTCGACACTGGATTAGTAGGGAAGCAACTATTGTTTCTTAAGAAGCTTTTGAGAGCTTTTGATAAAAGATACTATGGAAGGGCAAGGTATTATTCAGATACCCCTTTCTGAATATTTATATATAGTTTTTTTTTAAAAAAGCTTATTTCTGTGAAGCTCTCGAGCACAGCATAGATTTGTATGTTATCTGAGTAGTTTTGCTATAAATAAAGACTTAGAGATTAAGAAGTGGAAAATGGCGCTGTTAAGACCAATGAGCAACATCGTCTTGTGGTGTCATCTAGAAATCCTAAACAGTTTTTCATAATATTTCAGAGCATGAAATTACTGGAATGCTTAAAACATATTAAAAAGCATTGCCATTTTGTTGGCTGCTGTTGTAGATCAGCTGCGAAGGGATAATGCTGTGCTATGCCATGTTGCATAGGCTTTTGTCATTGCACTTGTGAAAAGACAGCAAGTTCTGTATGGTCAGTGGGAGATGTTTGGTTCTGTGGAGGCATCTTCTGGCAGACAACATCACATTTACAGCTGAATAGAGGGCCTTGGTTTATTGTAATGGATAGAACAATGTTTTAGCTTCAGGAAGTGAACATGGTGGTTGACATACTGCTGTCTTTTTATCGGGGCCTTTTTGGACTTTTTAACTGTTCTTTGTGTGTGGGGGGGTGAAACGATAAGGGTATTCAAGAGGAAAAGTTTAGTGAGGATGATGCAGATGACACTTCTAATACAGACTCTCTCCATTCTCATTCATGGAGTCTTTTGGTAGCGAAGAAAAAGAGCAATTGATATCAACTGAAAATTGGGCTGGCTGAGTTTTGTTTTATTTCATATCTCAATTCTGCAGCCTCCAGCTGCAGTAACCTTCCCTGTGCTCATTTTAACAGTTGCAATTTTGGGGACTTTAGCGGTAGGATGGCTTGAAGCAGGCATCTCCTCCTAGACTGAGGTGTTTGGAGGAACGGGAACGCTCAACGTGAGAACGTATCTGTTTGACAGCCGAGGGGTTTGACTCTCCACTGTTGCCTCTGGATTAGAGGCTAGGGTTGACATGAAAGGGAACAAGTGCTTTTCTCTGCCAGTGCGCTGACTGATGAATATTGATACCTCATCGGCTGGGCTGGAGTTAGTCTAGCAGATATCTTAATGCAGTGAATTTCCTGGAGGGGTAAGAGACCTTGAGCTTTTGCTAGTCCCCTTAGCGTTGCCTGGTGATCGACAGCCTAGTGAGAGCCATATCAATCCAGGCAAAGTTTCTGATGCTCAGAAGTTGCAGGTAAAAGACCAGCGTGCGTGCACAGCTGGGACGCAGCGCACGCTCCGCGACAGCCTGGTGTATGTTAGAGCCTTTACCCCTCCCCAGCCAGGTGTGCGGTGCGAGACATCTGGCACGTCCTCCATATGGCAGACTTGCTGCGCATGCAGTGGATGGTTAATGCACCTGTATTTCTATCTGCTACTTCTTTCAGACCAGACTTTTATGAGACTGAGGGTACTGCTTTATCACAGAATGGGGTCATACACATGCACTCTAGGGTTGGGGATTAATTTGCCCCTGCAAGCTTGCAAGGTAAGTAATTGGGTTGGTGCATTTTTAGAAGTCTGTGCCTTTCACACTACGTAAATCAGCAGTCACTGTGGCATGCGAGCTCACGAGGCAATCAGTTGCTGCTTCTCATCTTTAAGGGCAGCGGCAGCTTAAAATGCACTAATTTGTGTGAGCATGCCTGATCTTGCTGCCTTTGGTGTGCTAGAGTGAATGTTCTTGCTGTTTGAATTAGAGAGGTATGGAGAATAAATAGCTGACTGACTATTTCTAATTCTAATTTGTAGTGTTTCCTGAGAAGCTGTCCCCTCTGCAGGGGAAACACGGTAGGGCCATAACAGGAACAAGCAAACATCCCGCGCTTCCTGGTGACTGTAATGACTCTGCTGACTTGAAATGCATCATTGCTTTAGTATATCACTAGCTGACTTTTATCTAGGGTGTTTTTTACTGTTAATGATTAGACATTAAACAGTTCCCTCTAGAAACAAGCTATGCAGCTACTTGTCCTCACAGAGCTTGCAGCATCTGTTTTAGTACTGTTGCCATGAAAACAGGCCAGAGCACCAGAAGCAATAGTATTATTGCCCTGTGGCCTGTTCCAGCGCCAGCCTTTGTTACCAGTGGCCTGTTTTTATCACAACTTAAAAGAAACCTAAGCTTGCAGAAGCTTGCAGCTTGTTCCCTACCTAAAGTAATGTTAGTATTCTGTATTCCCTTTGTGCTTGCCTTCATTTAATGTTCCAGCATGAGCCAGATATTCTTCCCCTCCTAATAGCTAGAGAGAGTTTCATCTACTGCTGTAGCCTTGGAGGAGTCTTGGTAGCCTTCTGTGTCCCAGGGCTGACTAGCCTTGTTGGAAATGCTGAGGTAACTGTTTGCCGCCAGGATTTAAATACTTCAGTAATAAATTCTAAAGCTTTAGACACAGTGCAATGTAAACATAAGGGTAAAATCCTAGTCACGTTTAGGTCAATGACAAGTCTTGCCTGGTGTCACTATGCCAGGATTTTATCAGAAGGGTTTTCAGATGCATAAATTAAACATTGTGAAGGTTCCTGAGCAAAGATGTATTAGTCACAGATCTATAACTGAGTCCTGGCTGCGTGCCCCCCCCTGTAAAATTCTCATTTTTCTGCTCTTTCAAATATGAGAACTAACTTGTGTATCCAGTTGTTTAAAAACAAGAACCAAAAAAAATCACTGGTGGGGTCTAAAACTTGGTGGACTGTGTGTCTCGATGGGTATGTATTGCAGCTGGCTGTCGCTCTGATGAGGACATGGGCAAAAGGGTTGAGCTCAAACCTGTTGTTTGCTGTGCATGCCCTGCTGGACGGTATTTATGGGGCCACAGCTTCTTAGGTCCTTCCTGGTAGATCTGTATCTAAGACTTCCTTGGTTGTCTTGTGGCTCGTGTATAAGATGTATCCAAACTTCTCATTTTCTTTTTCAGATTTTATTATATCTGTCATTTGACAAAGGAATATAATGCAGCAATTTTCCTAACCTAAATAGTGATTCTGAATGACTATTTCCAACTCCCCTTTAACTTGTACTTAAATTAAGCGTGTGGGTTTTTTAATTTGATCATTGTGGGGAGGAACAAAAAATGAAATACTGCAGATATGCCTTCCTCTTCCTTTTCTTCAGTTAAATTTGTCCTTGTCATTCTTTTTCTTTGACTTCCATGAGTTGTTCAGGCTATTTTTCTCTAGTTTCTTTTGTTGTAGCTTCTATATTGCGGTCTTACATCTTTAGAAAAATATAATGCATGTATGTGACTGTTTTCTTGCCTTTACAGCATCGTTGTTGTCAGCATATGACAAATAACATGTGATTGATGACTGACTAAGCATTCTGAATATTTCTTCATTCTTTTATATGCCCAATGATATATATATTTTTTTTGCATAGGGAGGCATTCGTGAATGGCATTTTTTGTGGTGATGGAGCCATCTTCAGACACAAATATGAATTGCATTGAATGCAGACAGGTGCTCTACCTCCATGGCAATAGTCAATCTTAAAGGTGGCCAGCCATCACAGCCGCTCATCACTGACTTCTGTGTGACATGTCCCTCATGCTTACTAGCTGACTTAAAATATTTCTGTAATAGCTAATTCTAAGCTTGTTTCAGATAAGGAGAAAATAGTGCCTATGTTACTGTCTGATCTGTCAATGTAAAAAGGGTCTTTGTAGAAAAAAAAAAAAAAAAAAATAAAAGCTAGGTATGCCTGAGGTGCTTCAGTTGGTCAGTTCAAAGCTTGATGTTCAAACAGTAGAAAGCATTCCCTGCAGTAACATTTTAATTGCTGAAAACTGTATTTCCTTTCTTTTAGGTGAACTGTCATTTTTGTTCAAGCCAGAGAAAGCATCTGCCTTTGCGCTGAAGAAGATAGTTTGAACATTCTCTAAACAGGTATGTTTTGTGCAACGGTACACCACAAAGTCATCCAAAATACCTGTTGTGCCTCACCATTAATTTTTAAAATCTTTTATCCTTGACTCCCTAAACCAGTAATATCTCATGAGGTGAGTAGCTTGAATGCGCGAGCAGCATGTTTGCAATCCACTTAGAGGCAGTTTGACCAAAGCCCCTGTGCTTCTTGTGCATCAACCTGCAAATAGTTGACAAGGGGCAGCTGCGTTCTCAATTTTGTGTTCTGCTCTTTGAAAGATCATGTCTTGAAGGGAAAAATAAGGTGTATGGGAGGGAGCAAAGGGTTGGTCACGTAGTGCCCTCAGGAAGGGCTGTCTCCTCTCGTTCTGCTGCCCCGTGCATCAGAATCTTCCACTTCGTTTTCTTGCCCTAATGCAGAGTTGCAGTGACTGCAGTGATCACCTCTGTATACTCTTATGCTTTCAGGCACTATGTAGCCTCAAAGGTACCTTTTCAAAACAGTATGCAGGGCAGTATTTGAACTACCTTTTCTATGTAGAGCCTTACACTCTAAATCTGTGTACTTTACTCGGACTACACCCTTAATTACTGATGGGGCGATTGGCTAGATATGTCTTTTAAAGTTGTTTTTCTCAGAAGGATGATTAATAAATTATGACTAAACTTCAGACATCTTAGATAGCTGTAAAAATCAGAACTTTCAGCTAGTAGTATAGATAGGCTATTTTCCCCAGCAGTAAACTGGGTTCTCTGACCATTGCAAAGGTAACTGCTTTGACCAGTAAGTAGCCTGTGTTTTTTAGCTCAGATTTTCAGGTAGAGACCACTCTTGTTTCTTTGCTGGAGAGTTGAAGTATAAAAGTCCATGTATGTGAAAGTATTTAGATGTTCAAATTCCCTTTTATTTCAGTAGGATATTAGGTGTCTAAAATTATCCCACGATCATGCAGAAAATTAATTTTCTTATGTAGCTGTCACCTGTAATTTGGATTTTTTTCTGAATTCCATTCTTTATGATGATTGTTAACATATCTGGGTATCACCGCTCGTTTTAGATGTTGTCGTATACTCCATGATAGAGACAGTTGTGCCATGCATTATCTGCCTTACAATTCCAGGTGAAAAGATGAAAGTGTTGATAGGATTGTATACAAGTGCGTGCAAGGTTATTAGTTAAAACTGACCTACCTTGAAAGCAGTCTTCCAATACGCATGCACGCTTCTTTCTTCAGTATATCAAGCAGGGGAGCTTTAGCAGAATTGCTTGTTGTCTGACTTGCTTCTTGGGCAGAAATTATTTTTTAAAAGATGCCATTAGCGTGTTGATCTCCAGTGTCCTTTCATAAGACTGGTTTGGGATTCTGGATTCTGACTTAAACCTCCAAGAGAGGGCAGTGTATCCCTGAGAGCTGAACTGCACAGCCTATGGAAACATCTGCAGCTGCCAGGCATGAGCTGCTTCTGCTTGTGATCTGAGAGAGAATTATGTTCCAGAAAGTTGAATGAGCATAACTCCTTAAAACAATTTGAAGTGAGTAATTGACTGGCATACTCATTAACAAATGTATTAGGAGCTGTATATCATCATGTGACCATTTGTCCTTTCCCCAAATGGTGGCAGGAATACAGTAACACTTCCTGTTGCCTCACTTTCATAAAAACGACCTCTATCTCTGTTTCACTTGCGTCATTTTGCCCTACTTTTTGCTTGGCCTCCCCTCCAAGAGAGGAATGATGTCGTGGGATCAGTGTAGAGCCTTGCCATGAGTCTGAGTGAATTGGAGAGTTAATTTAAAGCATAAGGAAATTGGGGAGAAAAACAATAAACAACAACAAAAAAGGAAAAGTAATGGAAGTTTCTATGTTGTGATATATTGCCTTAGCACTCCAAACAGGAAATGCTTATGCCAGTCTCTACCTCAAAAGCAGATCTGGTTGCTCACTAAAGAGGCAAACATTTTTTTAGTGTGGAAGCATGCATCTCTCCCCAGTATGCTGTGTGCTTTCTTTCATGTTCCAGAAATCAGGTTTATGAACAAATTGTCACTGCTACACTTGGTTTCTGTTTTCAGGACCTATTTGCGAACCCTTTTGTTGTATTCAGCTCTGCGTGGTGAATAACCAGCAGTGCATTGCTGCTATGTCAGACTCGCAACAGCTGTCTATTCTTACTTAGGAAGCCATTTTTAATCCTGTTAGTTCTTGCCCTGTTGCTGAAGTTACACGAAGGCACCTTTATTGGTGACTTACATTTGCAGAAATGATGCTGCCCTGGCCTAATAATCACTGATATATTGAGAGCACCCTGTTTTCCCAGGGTTCATTATGGCATTTATTTCGTTTTCTTACTAATTGACTAGATAAAATTGTTTGATAGCCTCTAGAAGATAGGGCACTTGTGTAATATAAAAGCACATTGAAATAACCTCAGAAGAAGTTGCTTTGAGATAAAAACGTCTCCCAGGAGAAGCATCCACGTTTAAAATGAAACTATTAACCTTGCTTCTAAATCCTTCCTCAAGAAGATATTTTTCTTCCATTGAAATAACCTCAGAAGAAGTTGCTTTGAGATAAAAACGTCTCCCAGGAGAAGCATCCACGTTTAAAATGAAACTATTAACCTTGCTTCTAAATCCTTCCTCAAGAAGATATTTTTCTTCTTTTTTTTTTTTTTTTTTTTTTCCACTTTGTGTAATGGCAGAATGAGGTGAACTTTCCCCATTTTGTAAAAAGGGAAAAGATCACTTCTTTGGGGAGTATTTTACTGCTGGCTTAGAAGCAATACTAGTTTGTCATTGCTTTTTGTGTGTGGTGGTGTGGGAGGTTTAGGGTTTTTTTCTGTTGTTCTTGTTTCAAGTGATTTGAAGACAACAGCCTGTCCATGTTTAATATTTGCTTTTCTGGAACAGTTCCTGCATTGTTGGTGCAACCTATGAAAATAGCTGTACTTTACACAGTTCAGCTGCCTGTCTTCATATGTAAGAGCAAATACCAGCACGCTTTTATAATTGATCTGATGGCACTTGAAGAATTATAAACCTCAGCATCCCATCTGTGTTTCACTTTGGTATTTACAGTGTAATGAATTCTCCCTCGCTGCTTCAGCTGGATACTCTTTCACCTCCTCTTCCTGTTTCAAGCAGTTGTTAAGTTGGTGTACAGTTTAAAATTCCTCCAATTTTTAGGAGGTTGTCAGTGACATGAAAGAACTTCTTGTATTGCTTGTTTGCCTGGTAGAGGCATTGAGCTAATCTAGTTATGTTAAAACTAAGCATCTCTAGAGTAAAGAAGTGTATTGTCACTGTTTTGATCTGTTTATAACAGCTGGAGGCATTTGCTAAAACTTATTGGGAATAGACTTTATAAATAAACATTGTTCACTGCAGTCATACAGCTTTTTAGTTGCTATTCTTAATCAGTCCACTGAAAGGAGGAGAAAGTGGTGAGGTTTTTTTTGATGAAAGTAAACTGGAAAGTCCAGAAACATACCTAGTTTATCTCCTAGCAAAAGACGACTGTTGCTATAGCACATTCTTGTTCCATTAGTGTTTGTACATTTTTAAATTTGATTTTCCAAACAGCTTGGGGAAATTGGCACCTCGTAAGTAAAGTTTTTAAAAATAGCTCTCTTCTGAAATAAGTCCTGTTATTTCCATGGATTGGTGTCTTGAGTGTATTACTGGCGCTCTAAAACCTTGGAAGTGTCTGACAAGATACTGCTAAGCAGAGTTGTAACCCCAAATATTTACTGAGGAATTAGTTTGTCCTATTTTTTTTTTTTTTTTAAGAATGAACTCTTGCAAATGGAATGCTGCTGTCTACAAGGTTTATTTTAGGCTTTTTCCTCTTTTGCTCAGAGGAAAAACAAAGCCAGAGTAGGAATGCATGATTGTGAAGCAATTGTCATTCAAAATACCCCCGACTGCTCCCCAGGCTGCTCTGTTTTCCTGTGAAATGACTGGGGAGGTAAATGCTCATGTGCAGTGCTGCCTTGGACAGCAGAACCTGCGTTGTTCAGGGTGCTAGCTGCCCTTTTTCACCTCTGCTCCTTTTCTTTAGATCTGGTGAGTGTTAAAGCATTTTATGCTTCAGTTATGAATGATGGTGTGTGGGTCTCTTTTCCCCCCCCCTCCACCTTCCCCCATGTGAAACTGTTCATGCAAAGATCACTTGGTACTTGATGTATGAAGCTTAGGTGCCAGGCTGCTTTCTGTCTTCTAGCAGCTGCTCCAAATGTTTCCTGTTGCTCTTCTCAGAAACCCAGAAGGAGCTGAAGGTCACAAAAAGCAATTGCTGGTCAGAATATGCCTTTAGAGGGACCTTGAAGTGACAAGCTTATTAGTATGGTTCCTGTTGAATGGTTTCTGTGGGTTTTGAGCCTGAAGTATTGATCCCTTGAGGTGTGAAGGACTGCAGAATACAGGGAAAGCCCTTTTGCTTGCCTCTGCTCTAGTCCTTCCCATTTTAGGACTTAAAAGAGGTTCCAGAGCAAGTTGCCAGAACAGACTTCCTAGCAACTTCACAATTGGCAATTTACTTCCAAAAGCAAATGTGCACTGGCTGTGGCAGCTGCTACTTAGCAAAAATCCTGGGCTGTATGCTGGAAAATGGCAGGCTTTCTGTGGACAAGGAAAAAAGAACCTGCTCATCCCTTGGAGGAATCAATGGGAAAAAGTTAAACTTTACAAGTTATCCCTTTACCATGGATGTTTTGCACTGTTTGTCCAGATGCAATTGTTTGATAACGATTTTCTATTTATAGATATATATTTTTAGAGACATGGTAAAGTCTATCTCTGGAAGTGATATCTTTTGCCTATTATTAGAGCAAAGTAGTAGAGTGAAAAACAAAGTTGGTTATCCCATTAAGGTTATTTAATTTTGAGTGTTATCTGAGGACCTGCACCTTTGCTAATGTGCTTCTCTCCCTTTAACTTCACTGTTGCATCAATTTTGGAGGAGCTGAAGTTCTGGCATGGGTTTGTGACCTACTTGCCCGGAATGAAAAGATGAGCCACGCTAGTCAGTAGGTGGTTGTCTCATATAATTGCAGTACTGTTGTGAATCAGTCACGTGCTGATACATCTCAGTGTCTGTTCATTATCTGTTGGTCAGCACTGCCTATTGGTAATGCTTTAATTTAGCCTTGTGGTACAACATGTAACAGATAGTTCCCGAGATTCTTGATCAGGGATCCACCAGACATCTTAGAAGGAGCCTTTTGCCATTTGACAGCTTCATTTTCCATGAGCTGTTCTGCATTACATAACAGTACTGAGGTGGCATCATGCGCTGGGCTGGGGAGGACAGAGTTTAATACCAGCTCCGCTGCTGAGCTGTCAGAGCAGGTCATCCACTGTCTGGTCTGCCCCAGACTGTGGACTAACTGGGTGGTCGCACCGTCCCTACCAGAGCAGGGCTCTGTTTTTGAATGAGGAGGTGATGGCGCCTCTGCTTCCAGTAGTATCCTGACTGGTAATCTCTGCTCTGTTTTTTCTAAAAACGCATGGACTCTTTAGTGCTGAAATACTTGGAACTTGTCAGCAAAATCAACTGTCTGGAGGTTGCAGTTAAGGAGTCTGAAGTCAGAGCCAGTGCAAATGAAGTTTGCTTTCTATTTCTCATTCTGAAATCCCACATCAAATTGTAAAGAACATTAACGTTTATTTGTAAAGGTGACAGGGTTGCTGTCTTGTTCACCATATGAATGCTGCATCTTTGATTTTATGCTTTGTAACATTTTCAAACACCCTTTAAAAATCCTAAGGACTGGAAACAAAATCAGCAGTCTCTCACTACAGCAAGATGAGTCTTTGTGAATCTTCAGTATTCGGATGTTGTCTCTTTAATTTTCTCATACAACTTTTTATTAATCACTGTTGGAATACTTGATAGCATCAAATGCCTGCTCCGAGATCTGCCCGATCTTGGAGTGTCTGAGGGAAGTCTAGCAAGTTCTTCCTGCCGGTGCTCTGGAAGATGCTTGTGGAAAGGCTCTTCTGTAAAGGCTGCCTCCCACAGAGTTCCTGGCAGCGTCAGTCTTCTGCTTGGCTGGAATGGATGATCCGTCTTCCTTATAGTTTTGCAATCCCCAAGTTTTGCACTGGCTTTTAGGGAACATTGGCAGCTGGAAGCTCTGTTGTTAGGAGATGCCTTACATTACCAACTGTTGTCACTTCCCATTAGTTCAAAAATTAGTTCCCCTCCTTACTGCCCCCGACCTGCTCCCAGGTATCTTTTAAAGCACTGGTACTTGTCTTGCTAGCAGTTTGCATGTTTGCAGAGCAGGCTTGAGCAAGGGGTTTTGGCCTGCACTGTAAACAAGCATAAGGTCAAGCAGGTCCAAATATGACCGAAGTTTTTTCCAAACCCACTGGTATGACAGTTTCCCGTGACAAATAGTTGTCTAATGAGAATGGTAGAGCCACTCTGACTCTTAAACAATGACTTTTTAGGTCCTTCGTTTGGGCTTTGTTGCCAGCAAGTGGTGGTGTGCAATATCCGCTTGAAGGAAATTGCAGCCTGCTTATCAAGTGTGTAGGAAATGGTATAAGTGGAAGATATGGGAGGGTCCATGTTGAACGTGCCTGTCCATGCACTGAAAGGTGTGTGTGTGTTACACAGTGAATGCTGCGCTTACTGTACTGAGAGCCAGTTGGCTTGCTAAGGATCTTTCACCAGCTAGGAAGCGGCAGCCAGCGTAGCCTGATGAATGAAAGCAGGAGCGTGTCCAGTTAGTTTACCTTCTTGGCTCTAATGCTCTTATTTTTTCCCACGGAGGCATGTTGGTAAGCAGGGCTGTGTGCTGGCACACTTTGCTCAGTAAGCTCAGTCACGCTGCTGGGTATCTTGGTCTTTTACCTTTGCCCTGGGAGCAAGTGCGTAAGGAAGGAGGGGGCAGTGTTTATTAAACCAGCACTCTGAGGTCAGGCTTGTTTTCCCTCTCTGAGCAAGAACAGACCAGCCCCCAGAGTCAAATTCTGTAAGCCTTGTAAACAAAAGGCTCATTTCTGCGGAAAACCAAAGATGGTATTGTGTTCATCTGGTATCTCTGGAAGGAAAGTTGTTGGAGTTTTGTGTGTTGTTGGTTTTTTTTTTTTTCTCTTCCTTGCAAACTGTTCCTCATGTATTAACTTTCAGTTCAGAAGTTGGTGTCAGTGCAGGAGAAATGCCAGGGGTGAACATGCACATGTTGTTAATCAGGCCTGGTTTGGGGTGCCTGCAGTGCTGGCACTGATTGCAAACTGGAGGGGAGCTGGGGAGGAGCCCAGGCAACATGCCATTGTTCAAACAGCAGCACTGGCTGGTGCAGGGGGTGTTTGCTAGCTGAGCAGGTAGCCTTCCTGCAGAGAGCCTGGCTACCTGTGTGTCTCCTGCCCAACATGCTTTGTAGGTGCCATAAGCCAGAACCAGGCTGACCACTTGTAATTTTTTTCAGCACAGCTCAATTTAGTCAAAAGGTAGATTGATTTGGGTGACTTGTCTTCAAATAAGGCTTTGAGCTTTCTGCTGCAGCTTGAAGGTGGTGGCTCATTCCTTGAGCAGCTTAGCATTTATCACCTCTTACAGAGCACCAGAAGCACTTAAACTGCACATACTTTGCAGGGCCAAGACACTTGCTATTTAAATCTGTTTGCAGTTTGGAAGCCATAATTATTTTTTCATGCTATAAAGCCACATGTAGCTGGAAAACTTGGGAGGCACTGGAGTGGGGATTACAGCTGAACACTGGTTCTAGCATGGCCTGTGATTTAAGGAGGCAAGTTCATCTTTTACAGAGACAGCAATTAGTAAGAGGCAGCAGGATATTGGGAAAGCCGTCTTCATTCCTTTGCCTTATAAAAGGCACTTCATCCTATATGGAAATGGCCAAAGAACACGTTTACTTATTGATGGCTGAACTTCCTCCCGACAGCTCATCTCTCTCTCACCCCTTTACGGTGGTGATGTATTGGTGATTACTTTATTTTGGGATGGACGTGCCACTTGGTTGACAAGATTCACTGAATTTCGGTCCCTTTTTGGGTTTGTTACTGCATTTCAAACTCAAATCAAATGAGGCAGGTCGGTGCTGCTTCAGCCGGAAGGAGGCCAGCTTTGGCATTTGCTGTTTTGAGCAGGGAGGAACGTGTGGGCTCCTGGCCACCTGCTCTTCCTGGGTGTAGCTTTGCTCTAGCTAATGCCACAGAGGGTGGCTGGGTCCAAAAGCTGCCTCAAGATGAGCATGTGGATAATGCTGTGGAAAACTTCACTAGAGCAGGGGGAATACGAGAAAGTTGCAAGATGGCTTACTAATCTTGGAGGAAGACTAGATCCTGGTTTGTTGTATGACTTTTTCTTCTGCTCTCGCCCTCGTTTTTAAACGTTCATTGCTTCGTCAAGTGCATAGACGGTATCAGGCCTGGCTTCTGGTGTTTACCTCTCTCCCTTACTGTGCATAATAATCTTATAATCCAAGAGATATCAAGTTAGATTTCCCACCACCGTGTATAAGCTCTCAGAACCTTTCATGCTTCCAAAGGCAACAGAAGACTATCAAACAGAACTTGTGCAAAACCATAAAACTTTTAGGTCTCTCTAACTTAATATAAGCAAATGAAAGGGAAAGTGTGTTGTCCAGAATTTGTATGTGCCTGAATATTTGCACAGATAGCTGGCATTTGACAGTCTTGTTTTCAATATGGTATTTGTGAGAATTGGTATTCTCAAAAAAATAATAATTTTTTTAATTTAAAAATGGCTATTTTGTCTGGGGGGGACTATTCCTCATCCTTTGATTTACTGAAATCTGAGGAAGATGGGGACAAAAGGAATAAGGCAAATTGTGGCCTAGAAGCCCAGCAGACAATGTGACATGGTTTTTACTCTTTGAAAAACAGAAAACCCTGTTTGTGTTCAGACAGTAAGTGAGGAAAACAAGCAGAGCTGGATTTCAGCTCAGATGAATTCTTGGAATTAATCCATAGCACTCGCTCACGACAGCTTTGACTTCAGTGTGGTAAGCCAGACTGACCGGAGAAAGGTTGAGCAATGTTTTACTGGTAAGCAGGAAGAAAGGCATCCTAAGGAGTGCCATAAAATGATACAGCAGGGGAGCATCTCAGTATTATATGAAATGGCTAATCATGACTTAAAGCTTCCTTTTAGTGTTTTTAATGCTTTCTTAAGCCCAACTCATTCATAGTCCTATAACACTTGTTTGAAAGCTGAGCTTTGCCAGCAAGTCTGTGTTTAGTCAGAGGACTCAATGCTGACTTCTTTGCTAGCACTACGTATAGAATTCCCCCTGCACAAAGGTGCAAACACCCCTCCTTTTCCCATCGCAGTGGACTTAAGCTCAACGTCTGTCGACTATAGTGCTCTAGCTAGATTGCAGTGAAACCTAGAGCAGAGCATTTAAGTGAACTCTCATCCAGTAGTCGAAGCATTAGTTATCTCCACTTTCAGAGGCCACAAATTGAGATTAAGTGTCAAAAATATACAGCGTGACCTCTAGGTCATGCACATTATTTATAAAACAAATAAAAATCTGTTCCCTGCCGGTATGTGTCTGTTGTATGCAACAGAATAAGGATGAGCTTGGAAACATAAAATTCAAGCAAATCAATGTTAATTTCAGAATGTTCCTAGGACATTGTGTTCTTTAGTATAGAAAATTGATATCATTAAAAACAGACAACTGAGGTGAATGCAGTGCCTTCTTTATTACACTGATTATTGAAGTAAATATTGCTGTAATAAAAATAGTCAATGGAGTGAAATATATTATTCCAATTCATAGCTTCACTAATAATGCCCCATCTGTTTAACATATTGATGATGAATCTCCTGAATTCCAGTTTCCTTTCCAGAAGGAGTTGTAACTGGGATCCCACTAACGATAAGTGTGCTGTCCTGGAAGGAAGCTGAAACTGCTTCATTGCAGTAGGAAGGTGAGGAAGAAGAACCCTTCTCTTTTGAAACTTCCAGTGTCATGTCGTCATTAATCTGTCTTCCATTGATAGTGAAGTTTTACTTGCTACAGTTGGAAAAAGCTGCAGTAGATGACATTGTTTTGTTGTTTGCTCAGCTCCATTGGCTGTTCTGAGGTACTCTTCTGATTTGACTCCTCTTGCTTTGGTTGGTCTGAGACAAAGACTAGTGATTACTCTCTGCCCATGTGGAACGGCATTCTGCACATTATGTAACAGTAATCCACCTCCTTAATTAGGGAACAAGATCCACAGATTCCAGAGAAGACTTGTTCCTCTTAGTCAGAAGACATATGAGGTGTGCGTGGGAGCCTTTGTTCTCCTTGGAAGCTAAGGAAAGGAGCAGAACTTAACTTCATTGTCCAGTTACATTAATTTAGTTTCCTTTTTAATGTAGCCTTTGGAGCGTTTGTATGTACTTGTTAACTAATATTTCGGGAACAGGAGATGCTGCAAACAGTGGCTTTCTCATTCTGTATAATAGTATTCTAGCACTGCTTAAAAATCCTAAATACTGGAAATGTCATGTCTTCTCCATGGCCTTTAAACAGAATGGTTAGGGTAGAGGCAGCAGTTTCAACACATAATTTAAGGTAAATGCCTCATTTGTTCCTACTGTTTTCTCTGAACTTTGGCATCACGTTAATTACACTGAAGCTGCTCCTTTCTGGAAATACGCGACAAGGCAAAACGAGCATTTTCATCCATCCTGCTAAGGACAGCTCTTGCAAATCGCCTTGTATTCCATTTAAAATTATTAAATGATCAGTTCCAATCTTCCCTATACAAACAATCAACACTGAAACATTATCTGGTGGTGCTGACTAATAAATCTGCAATTAGTAATCTCCAGTTAATGAAGCTGCATGGTGATTAAAGCCTCATGACTTTTCTATAGAAGAAGTAAGTTAAATATCAGCTGCACTGTTTTAAATTGCCCTAGAGCTTTGTATGATCTCAGAGCATAGAATAAATTGGTGGCATTATTCTAAAGACTTCAGACCAATTTGGCCATTCTGTTGGTATTTTCCCTGTGTGTACCCACTACAATATTTAAATTTGGGGATTTAAACTGGAATGACGCCTGTAGCTGTAGTTCAGCTTGTGGTAGGCTTCACTGATCTTGTTGCATAAAGGAGATAGGCCATATTGGACACGTGAATTTTAGCATGCTTGAAGGAAATGACATTGGGATTAAACATGGCATTTGGTCTACTTTGACTCCCTAGAATCAGCATTCCACCAGCATGTTTTCCACAGCTTCATTTTCCAAAATATTTTCTGCTGGTTTTCACACAACTTTGTCTTTATGTATTTTTTTCTTCTGAGGTTTCAAATATTGCCTGCCATATGGATGGCAGTTCCATGGGACCATGCATGATGCGATGTAGTTTGACCTGATCACATCCCATTTATCCATCGTTGCCCTGCTGTTCACCAGATGTCTGACTTTTAAGGGCAGCTGCGTTTATATAAAACACATAGAAATCCTTTTAATAGGCTCTATAGACATGATACATATTGCTGCTCGGGTCACATAATAGCTGAAAATTTTGCAGCAGGATATGGGCTGCAGTACACAAACCTTAGTGTTGCTTTTCTCTAGCCACCTTCGTCTTTGTAGTTTAATACTTGACGCTAGTGCTTTCTGTGTAGCATCCTCAAAGATCTCTTCACATGTTCGCATTCCTTTTGTGAAATCCTGTATTTCCTGTTACACATTTGAAATACCAGCAAGGTAAAGGAACTTAAGCTTGGTGAGAGGGCAAGCCCGGAGCTGAGCAGAGACTAGAGAGTCTCTAGCTCGCTGTTGTCTTAGAAATGGATTATCTTTACGTCAAGGGTGCTGTATCTCAAAGTAGAGAAGGAGAGTTGCTTGATTCTTATTAGTATACAGGTTAGAAGTGAATGGGCAGGAGGTTGACTGCATGTTTCAAACATCTCTGTTTGCAGGAGGCTGTGGACATTGCCACTGAGGGCTTTGGGGAGAAGCATGTCAACACTGATGTAGAGGTAGAGCTGATCCCGCTTTGGGACAGGAGGAAAAGTGGGACAGATGTTGAATAGTTGCTATTCTGCTACAGTCGCACAAAGTTATGGTCGATGTGACTTCAAAGCCAGTGATTCCGTCTTTCTGCCTGTATCACAGCAAGGTTTTCAAAGATGGGAACGGCAGCAAAAAACACACACTTCTGGGTTTTGAGTATCCTCTATTCTAAAATTCAGTTCAATGGGAAAAACCGTCTTCCAGAGTAACTGCCTGTAGTGCACCTGTCTGAACTGCAGATGTCTCTGTTAAGCCATTTACACTTTTGGATTATTTTAAATTTGAACGCTGTTATGATATGGGCTTTAGTATTAAACAGTTTAGATGCATTTAAAAATAATCCACAATCAAGCTGTCCTTGCTTTAATTGGGAATTACAAGTCACAGCTAATGATGCAGTTCAGTCAAAATTTTGGGACATGGTGTTGTAGGTAACACTAATACTTGCAGGTCTCCCCACAGTGTTTAGAGCATTCAATTTGGGCTTTGCAAGCAGGAGCGTGGCTTTTCCAGTTAACTCTGAGCCCAGCTCCCCGGAGTAGTCCTGATCCAGAGATGGCATTTGCACGGCTGCAAAAGGTCAGGTTTCTGCTGCTTTGCCATTCCCGGGGTGGATGTCAGCAGATGGCAGCACCCTGCCCTCCGCTGGGGTGTTATTTCTGGCCTGGAGATTCCTCAATCCCATGTATTCAACACCACAGTCTAGACTTACTGACGGACAGGATTCTTCTCATGTTAGGTAAGCAAGATATAGACGCCCATTATGCAAATTCCCAGCCATAGTTTTCCTCTGTAACATTTTTCAAATTGTCTAAATAAGGTGCTGTTTCATACAAAAAAAAAAAAAAAAGTAGCAAGGCTTTTGGGTAGCTTTCAGCTGCCTTGCCCTCTAGGCTTTTTTTTCCCCTCCTCCTTTTGGAGGTGCTCTTAGCAGCTGTCCAGATGTTTAACAGCAGGAAGGATGCAGGCTGGATAAAGAGCTACTGTTGTTCAAGTAAGGAACTTAACAACCCATAGCTCTTAACACTGACCATAAAGGGTACCTGTATCCATATAGATACAGGTATCTATATGGATTCTATGAAATATTTAAATATTACACAGACTTAATAGGCATGTTTGGGTTTTGAGCCCTGTATATCCATACTGGGGAAGAGACGGTGCAGCAACCCAGTGCCTTTCCCCATCAACTGTCAAATCCGGACTGAGCTGTTGGCCTGGTCAGTGGCTTGTGTGAAATGGGTTGTTGGTATGACTCACTGCCCAGCATGTTCTGAACTGAAGTAAGTGACAATCAATCATGATTGATTGTCCAGAGTGGCTAGAAATATCTGTGGCTTTTTCTACTCTTTCTTTTTTTTACAGAGAAATTGAAAGATCCTTTCAAGACTGATGACTACTGGCCGTCGTTGTTCTTTGCGAGTTGTAGATCAGAGAGCCTCTTGTCATGTACTTGTTATACAAGCACTAATTTCTGAGCAATTAGTATTTCTTTAAATGTTTTATAATATGATTCTGTAACTAATTTCTGTTCTTCAGTCCCCAGTCTGAAGTTGCTTTAGACTCTTCAAGCCTTAGAGCATACAGTTTGACATAAATAGCTGGAAGGAGATGACTGGAGACTTAAGATGCTTGTTGGGTCGGTATCTGGCAGCCAACCAGCAAGGCAGAATTTCAAATTGCTGTTAGTACTGCATGGTGATCACATCTCTTCTCAAGAAAACATTGGAAAGCGTCCTAATCTTAAATTCACTGTCCAGGCACGTGATTTTCTGGGAATTAGCTGAATGCACTGCAAAATGCTTCATAAATACTTACGTGTCCTAATATTAGATAACGGAAACAAGTACAGCAGGTTTTTTGTCAGTTTTCTCCCTGGAGGTACTTCAGCTGGCCCTGGTGGCCTCTCTCTTTACACCAGCAGCTGTCAGCTTTGCTAATGTTTCTATTCCTTACCTAGATCTGAAAAAAAGAAAGTGTTTTTTTTAATTGCAACACTAATCCTGTTTTGTTAAGTATTACTTGGATTGGGACATAGTTAGTTCATTTTGTTTAGCTGTTCAAAGGGACAAAGATAATGCATTATAACCTGTGGCGTCTGCGAAGCTGTAGTGTTAGGAGGCTGTTAAAGCTAATATTTGATAGCCAGATACAAGCCTTTGTCCTTTGCTGCTCCCGCTACTGTACTGGGTTGAACTCTCCCTTTTCCGTCACGCAGGTTGCTATCCCATCCCTTCCTGTGTGGCAGGGTTGGCCTTCACTGTTCTCTTGCGCTAAAGCCCTGAAATGGGCTGTGCATGTTATTGTTTATGAAGTGCCCAGCAATTGTCTTTGGCTTGTGATACAGTCTGCCATCACGTGGGGCTGGTTTCCAGTATGACTGACGTCTGTGCTCATGCTAACTTGCATGAGTTGAAACGCTTGCCTGGCTCTAGCAAAGTTTTATAAACATCTCCAGCTTGTGCTCTCATTTTGAAAGTGTATTTTAACATTTCTTCTTTAAGATCTGAGATAATGAAAGGGGGTGAACGTTGCTGAGTCAGTTCTTACTGCTTCTGGTTTCTGTCCTTCCTGCCCTCCCACACACTCCACCTGCACACTGGTCTAACCTTCAGCAGCTACCATCCTGAAGGGCTTTCCTCATAACAGCTAGCAGTAAACACAGCATGGTTTCCTATTTTCCTGCCCCATCGTCCTACTTCTTTGCCTCAGATAACAGTCTACCTTTTTGCAAGAGACATGGCTGAGGAGCTTTGGAGAACTCGGGTGTCCTTGCTCGTCACTGAGTTTGGGCAAGCTGCCTTTGCCAAACTGGCAAACAGCCAGAATAATCAAATCAGTCTTTCCTTTGAAATAAATACCTAAACTCCCTGTAAACGTGGATGTATCCTTATGGCAGTCTTTAACTACAGCG